ATTTTCTTAATTTCTCGCAAACATTTTACTCGTAATGTGCAATGTTTCTGTTTTTGCAAGAAAACATTTGGCCAATTAACTCAAATCTTCTCGTTTATTCGAATTATTTTTTGCGAAAACACTAAAGATATCATGCCTTTGCACCTTAATTATTTCGACTTGCGTAAATCTTCTCATAAAAGATCGCGTAAGAGGTGACCCTTTGAAGCTTCCGTAATGTTTCTTTTTTTGCAAGAAAACATTTGGCCAATTAACTCAACTTTTCTCGTTTATTCGAGTTATTTTTTTAGAGAACACTAAACATATCATGCCTTCGCGCCTTATATTTTTTCGAATAGCGTAAATCTTCTCACAAAAGATCGCGTAAGAGGTGACCCTTTGAAGCTTCCGTAGGTTACAGATATCTAACCTATATCGTCGTTACATATGTACATAATGTATGTTTTGTGGAGTTTTTTTTTTTTTTTTGAAACATATCTACGGAAGCGTATCAGGGCCTACAGTTGGTGAGATGTTTTGCGCTAAATCGAATTTTTATTCGCATTGATAAGATGTTTTTGCATTTCTCAATAAAATTTACTGATAAAGATGAGAAGCTTTTAGGCATTGCAACTGATTTTTTCTCGATATGCTTGAAGCTTTTGTCTTTCGAACAAAAAGACTGTCGAAACTTCTTGATTTCACGACTTTGCTGAAATATTTAGTAAGGCACAAAGACGTTACTCGCATTGACAAATAGCTCACGTAATTCAACAAAGTTTTTTTTTTGCAATGATTAAAAACTTGTACTTATTACGTAATGTCTTCATGGAATGTTTTATGTATCACGTATTAATCATAACGTCTTCATGGAATTTTTTTGGTCAAAACGAGAAGAAACAAGTTGACATGACGTGAAACTTTTAGATAAGTACAGGCCCTGATAAGCTTCCGTACATATCAGATTTTATTTCATTGAAATATTTTTAATGAAGCGTTACAGATTAAGATTTTTATTACAGCACAGCAATGATATAAAAAGCCTACATACGTGTTTTTCACGTATTTGCCGTTTTTGATAAAATGAAAATTTTGCCTTCATATTCAATCAATATTTTAAGTTTGAAGTGAATATTTGTGATGCTCTTTTTCTTTTTTGGGGGGATATAAAGAGGGAAATAATTTAGCAAAAATACCTTTCAGGATCATCTGTCCTTTAGAAATGTATTTTACTTTTATATGAAATAAGTATTTTAAGTTTAAAGTGAATTTGTTTGAAATTAGCCGTAACCAAAAGGTTAATTAGAGCGAAAACATGTTAGAGAAATAAGGGGCATAACTTTGCAAAATATAACTAGGATGATCAGCAATTTGATTTTGCATAATATAATCAAAGTAAACAAGTAAACCACATTTAAAGTAACTTCGGTTGTTTCTGAGAAAATAAATGGAATTACTTAAACCAAATTCTGAGAGCGGCAATATCATAATACCTTTAGTCCGTTGTCAATCAGGGTTACAAATGAAAATGAGAAAAAAGAAAAATACGAGGGTTGTTCAAAAAGTAATAGGACTAAGAGTCTTGAATCTTCATATTCAATTCAATTTAGAATATTTTTTTATTTACAGCGATCGAAAAATGTTTTCTTCAATTTAAACATAAAAATATTGAATTCTTATGCTTAACGCGTGTTTCCTGTGTTATTGAATAACCATGGTAACACGCACCCGGCGCAGCACATAAAAAGGTTATTGAAGCTTAGTTGAACTTCTATTTTATTCATAATTTATTTTCTTTTTTCCCCATTTATTCCACCAACACAATTTATTAAATTTAAGTGGCATTATGCCCAAATTTGACATCATTCAGACATGAAATGGCTAAATAATCAAGTTTTCAACAGCAGTGGTCATAACGTTAAATGTAGAAATTTGACGTTCGTTAAAAAAACTGAAAATGTGTGCGATTGTTAAACTTTGCCAACAAATTGGCGATACTCCTTCAGATACATATGAAAACTTAAAATTAACACAGTACAGTTAATCAGCTATCAGGATACTCGTTCTCAGCTTGCACAAACAACTCAAAAACTTTACATACGAAATCACAAACAGGAAAGGATGAGAATGATAGCGGGAAATTGACGGGACGTTAGTGACGTCAAATGAAAAAGCGCTACAAAATGATCGACGGTAAACAGTCCACGAACTGTCCGGCATGTTTGATTTCTGCATTGGGTCTATTGATTCAGTTCTGCCTAAATGATTTGTTTCAAACAAAATTCTATTTCATAAAACTAGATTATGTGTTATCAATAAATTAATGTTATAATGATTAACGGTTATTATTAATATTTTCCCCGATTTTCTTTTAAAAATGATACGCTGTTCCTAGAAGTTACATATACTTTTCAGTTGATAACTATTGTTATTTTACTTACATAATCATATTGTTTTTTTAAGAACGTACGATGATATGTGTAAAATAATTCAATTAATCGCTTTTTCATTAACATCATAAGTTCATGCCTGTTTAATTGATTACCATAAGATACAAGAATACGAGAAAATCGGAAAGTGGCCGGCTATCGGGTTTTTTTTTTCTCGGAGAGTGGAACAAGAATGTGATCGTTTTCTTTCTCGCTTCATCTCCACATATGAGGTCTGGTCAAAGTTACATGACCTAGATCACTAGGGACAATTCTTTCAGAAGGGATGACGCTTGCTACATTTTATTTTTATTTTACGACGTCATAAACGTCATCTATTGTGCTGTTAGCGTGCGCCGAGTCGTGTACCCCTTGTCATTTGAAATTTTCACAGACTCGTTATTTTTAAACATATTTTATTGATTTTTTCTCTGTATATAGAGGATATGTTCCGATATTATTACCTTGTAAAACTGTGAACGTTAATTAAAAAAATGTGAACAGTAGAACTGCAGTCCTATTACTTTTTGAACAACCCTCGTACTTATCTATTGAGAACTCAATATCAAGCGTAAAGATTACATTATATAGCAGCTCAAAATCTCGATATTTAGATTCATAAATGAAAACAAGTAAAACAAAGAAATTGTTTGTGTAATAGCAATTACAATAAAATAACTATGAGAATGTTAAAAAGTAATATAATACTACTTTTAATCATGATTTTAACATGAATTTACATCTTGCGACATTTAACGTAGTGTTGCGACATGTAACGGTAAAGAAAATTCGTGCGACATTTAACGTTAACATTGCGACATTTAACGGCAAACGATCGGCGTGCGACAAGAGAACGGCGCCACAGGGAACTGCGCAGGAGACAGGCCCGTTCCGAGGAACGACAAAAAGAAGGCGCGTGGGAGGAAAGGGGAGGGGGCAGATCAGCGAGGGGTCGGCGCCAGTGGGCGACGGAAGGGCAAGGAAGGGGAGAGGGAGGAAGAAGAGGCCATCCGAGGACCGGGGGGGGCCGAGGAAGCGAAGAGAACCTCAGGCGAGAGAAAGACGGGGCGAGGAGGGCGACGCGGGACGGCCCGGGGCCTGGGGCAAAACGGCGTGAGGAGGCGGAGCGGGGGGACGGGGACAATGACGCGAAGAGGGGAAGACAAAAAGAGAGAAGAAAAGCCGGAACGCCGACCGAACGGGAACAAGGGGGAGGGGAGAAACAAGCAAAGGCCGGGGCAAGCACAAAAAGAAACAGGAAGAGGAAACCGCGGGGGTGGGCGAAGGAGAGGGAGGAACGAGGGAGCGAGGGAGGAAAGAGCCGGCGCGAAAACGGGCCGCATGGGGGGGGAAAGTCGGCGAGCAGAGGGACATAAGCCGGGCGCGACAAGAAAGAGGGGAGAAAGGGGAGACAGGAACAGGAGCAACGAGAGACCAGGAGCCGGACGGGCGGGAGACCGCAGCGGGGAGGTGACGCGGAGGGAACGGGGAGACAGGAGGAGCACGTACCGGGTGGCGGGACAGGGAGGAGCAGGGAGCGCGGAAACCGGAGGGAGGAGGGGTAATGGACCGGGCGAAAACCCCAGCGAAAAAGAACCGGGGTGCCGGGACAGGACGGAGGGACCGGGAGGAAGTAGGCCGAAGGATACCGAAGGGAGGAACAAAAAAACGAGGACGGGAGAGGGCGAAGGGGCGAGCAGGAGGCGTACGGGTAGGGAGAAAAACGGGAAGCAGGGGGGTTGAAAAGGAGCAAGGGGGCGGGAGCAGCGAGGCGCAAAGGGGGAGCAAAACAAGGGGGGGGAAGAGAGGGGAGGAGAGGGGGGTAAACGGAAAAAGTGAGGAAAAAAGGAAAAAAGAGGCGCAGGGAGCAGCGGCCAGAAAGAAAGATGAGGAGTGAGGATAAGACCGGGCATCCGGAGGGGGGCGAAAAAGGGGCGAGGAGCCGGGGGACGAGGAGGGAAGGGGGACCGCCCGGACGGCAGGCCGGAAGGGAGGAGGAAGAAGGAGAGGCGGCAAGGGACAAGGCAGGGCGGAAAAAAAGAAAGGGGGGAAGGGGCGGCCGGCCGCCAGCGGCCGGCCAACGGGGCCACCAGGGGGCAAAGAACCGGCGGCGAGAGGGAGCGAAGGAGTGGCAACGACAGGGGAGGAGCGCGCGAGACAAAAGCGGGACACTGCGCCGGGCCGACCCCGGAAGGAACGGGGAAAAAGGGGGAAAGCGAAATATAGCGGGAGAGGGAGGCCAAGGAAAAAGGAGCACGCGCAAAGGACCGACGAGAAACCAGGACGAGACGGGAGAGAAGCCCGGAGGAAGCCGGGGGAACAGGAAGCGCATGCCCAGGGGGGAGGGGGCGAGATGGGGAAAGGGAAGGGCAGCGGCGCGGACGAGATGCAGGAAAGACAGGGGCAAGACAGGGGAGGGGAAACGCAGGAGGGTGGATCCGAGACTCCGAAGAAACGCGGGGCGGAGAGGAGAGCGGAGAGAAACCGGCCAGAAGGGATAAAGCGGCGACGGGCGAAGAGAAAAGGCCGAAATCGGTGGGGCAGGGAAGAGCACGCAGGGAAGCGAAAAAAGCGGCCGGCAGGCAGGGAAAGCAGGGGCGGGACCGCTCGACGAAAACGCGGCCAGCGGCCGGAACGGTAGCGACGGGGGCAGGGCGGAGGGCGACAAAGGGCGAGCCCCGGGCGGAAATGACCCACCAGGTCGGAGACCGTAAGAGCAGGAGGCGGACGGAGGACACGCGGGCGAGCGGCAGATATATGTACTGTTCTAGGGTTCGTTGGGGGGAGAAGGGCCACTCGTTCATCATGCTGTATAAGGAAGTTTTGTGGTAAAGTACGATATATTAACTGGACTTGCTATGCGAGGGTGAGTGTTATGTGTCTAGTTTCTTGTCTTTTTTTTGTAATTGAACGAAATGGAGCTTTTTCGGTGTGGCGTGTAGGGGGATAATAGAAACAGGCTATTTTTATGTGGTTAGTATATGACTTTTTTCTTGTATAACCAGCGTGGGCGGTTGGGTGGGGTACGCGAGGGTAGGCATTTCTTCAATCAATTTCTTTGCTGGCTAGCGTGCAAGTGGTAATAAGATTAATTTATGTGTTATATTTTGTGTTTCTTTTAGAATCTGTTATATAATGGCCTCATAAAGATGTTATAAGAATCTGCTTAACTCTTATCCCACTAAATATCTTAAATGGACTAGTCCATCTTTAAATCTGGTCAAAACCATTTATCATTTATAGGGAAATTTTAAAATGTAAACTGACTAAGCCATGATAAGATGGCACAGTTGTGCTGACTGATCTTGGTCTATACTGGCAATTTTGGTAGATTTTGAAGCCCGGGGGTGACCAGCAGTTTTAAAGAGTGAGGAATATCAGAAATTCTTACAAAATATTGTCATTTAGAATTAAACTATTTGACATTTTTTTCATGTTCTTGATATTTTTTCAAATGTCAAGCATGCTTAGATTCAGCATTTTTCTGATTGAAAATGTTAATAATTTTATGAAATAGGAAAAAGAAAAATATACATCTTGATTAAGAAATAAAGTATTTTAAATACTGTCAATAATTACAAAAAGGTACAGAAATAACATAACTTAATTAATTTTTCTATCAATAAAATTACATTGTATCTCTAAGTAAAGTTACAACAATGAAAACCGAGATCCAAAAATTGTTTTAATTCTAACATATTAACTTGCCATTTGCTTTACATCATTTATACGGTCACTGAAACACTTTAAACAAACAGAACTTGATGATAGGTGGTTGTTTAATACAAGTTCTTAATTGATTGTTACATAGCAAAAAGATGGTAACTCCGGTAAATGTGTTATAACAACCTTTTATATAGAGGTGGTGTTTGAAAATGTTTAGCTGGTGTTTCTTTAATTTTATGTTATAATACAATTCTTTGATTTTAAAATTATTTTAACTATAGTTCTGTGTAGTATCAGATGTATAACATGAAACCTAGAGTTTATATGGGTTCAAATCCTACTAGGGTCACAACCATGGAAACCTTCAATAAACCTGGAAAGGGTTTACTTGTTTTTATATATCTTTGTATTGTGGAGGAAAAGAGGGTAATTTTTTCAATGAGAAAAATATTGGGTCGTCCAAATTTATTTACCCCCTTTCATGGTCGTCTGTAACAATTGGACATTTTTGACATTTTTCCCCATGGTCACTTTTTTTCTTTTGAATTTTCATAGAATGGATTACAAAATCTCAAAAATCCTACCAAACTTCTTGTAGGGCCTTTAATGTGACTTGAAACTTTATTTTTTAAATTTTAGTTTTGGTTTATAACATGCTACAGATGAATCTATCACTCTGGGTGCCATTTCTCTCCCATAAATTTAGGGTCTAAGATTTGATGAAAAAATCAATTTTAATAAATTAGCTTGGGTTAAAAATTTTATTTGGGCCAATATTTATACTGTGATAAAACAATTTCTTCGGAGACAGACTTAACTTTCTTGTACAGAAACAAAATTTTTTCCCCGAAAAATTACATATAGTAATTGAATGGAATTTTAGATTTAAGTTTATTCAAACATGGAGACTCTCTACGAAATTTACCCCGGACATTGCCCTTTAGTTTTATTGGGATAGAAATTAAATTTTCGCCAAAAAATTTAAACAAAAATTTTTCATTTTGTCTTTCTTAGGTTGATTGCTTTTCTTTACGATTCAGGACTTTTGACAAAATTAAAATTTTTTCTATTGTTTATAAATTGGATTTTTATGTGAGGGAAAATTTGTTTTATAATTCTGTTGAAGAAAATTTCGAGAAAAAATTTTCCAAGAAATGTTGTTTGGGAATATAATTTAATTTAAAACCCGAAAAAAAAAAAAAATTTCATGTTGGTGTGATTATATAAAAGTAATAAAATTTCAAAAATCACATCAAAAATTATTGAAAATATTAAAATTTTATACAAAATAACTTTTGGGTTTCTTTTTTTTGAGTGATTGCTTTGCAATTTGTAGAAATGCTTTTATAAATTAAGATGTGATGTTTCAATATAGGATACTGGGATTCTGAGAGTTCAAAATTTTATAGGGGTGAGTTAATGAAAAATCTAATTTATTTTTTTAAAAGGGGAAAAAAATTAAAATTTTTTCATTTTAAAAAAATTTGGGAAGTTGCCCCCCGGAGTTGGGAGGAAAATGTTATCACTTGGGCCCGTTTTAAGTTAACTGGCCCCGTATAAATTTTGCATTTGCCGAAAAAATTTTTGTTTAATTTTGCACCCAACCCCTAAAATTTTTCAAAAATGCCTGAAATTTTTTACACTGGGCCCCAAAAAATTTTCAACTTGCCTGAAATATGTTTTTACACCGGCCCAAAAAATTTTTCAACTTGCCTGAAAAAT